CATTTTTGTGTCATATTGCAACATTGCATCTTTCCTTCCTCAGGAATTTACTTTACTCTTGACCTTCTTGAATCAGACCCTTCTACTTCTTCTTCTTTCCGGTATTGAGTAGCAGGCTAATTGGCATTACAGCAGTTGCCTCTTTATCTACACAGACGCACGCACGCACTTGGCTACACCTCTGCTCCAGTGTGCCCCGTTTACTGCAGCAACACATCAGCCCGACAGTCACGGTTTTATGTGGTTTTTAGAAATCTGATGACAGCTTCTATGAGCTAGGGTGTACTGCTCACACGAGGAGGCAGACAGAGGTGATGGGACATACATGGCTGGGCTGTGGGTAGTGGAAACCCCCCTCACATTACAAGTTTCTCGTCCCACTCATTTTCACACCTTCATCCTCCGCCCTCAATCATCTATTCTGTCTGTTTGTGTCTGCACTACTGGGCTCCTGTGTGTGTGTGTGCGCGTCTGTGATTGTGTTTTACAAAGACAGTGCCAAAAAAAAAAGAACCAACACAATCTACAAGTATGTTTTCCTGTGTTATTGGTATCTGCATATATGCCTCTGCACACCCCACAGTTGTGTATTGTAGGCTTTGTTGTTCACGCAGATATGTAGCACTGACCTGTACAGAACTCCTTTTGTAGTTTCACCTGATGAGTTTTCCTACTACGCTGATGATTCATGTCAGGACTCACATGCCTTTCAGAGTCTTAAGTTTTTGAACAACCCCCACACGTTCATTTTGATTACTGTTGTGTTTTTGCAGAAAAGTGATTGGCTGCTAATTGAATTCCTTAAATTTAAGGTCCGGATCACAAAATCAAAAATGTGGACAAAAGGTGGGGAAACAAGAATGAATGAATGAATGGATTTTTCAGTTTGTCGGTTAGAAATGAATAAATCCTGCTCAAGATCCTAACATTTATTTTCTACCATAACTAATTATGTATAAGGTCTTTTTACACCACATCTTCCTCTAAAGTACCAAATCTCCCGAAATGTTCAAGCCTCATGCTTCTGCTTTCCACTAACTGCCACTTCTGCGTCGGTAAAAATGGCAAACCGAACGACCTCAAAGCGAAGGTGGCATCACACTTTTCTTCAGAAGGGCCTCTTTTCGCATGAAACCAGCCTCGTAGATTCGTGTTCTTATCCTAACTATTCATGTGCGATCAGAAACGCAGCCTCTATTAGTGCCGTGGGACAGGGATGAGGCGCTCTTTGATTAGATTAGTCGCACAGTTCTGCTTCTCTAAATTGGTTTTGCAGTTAGTCTGCATCCTCGTGAAAGAGTGTGTGATAACCATACTGATGCCGCAGATGAAGGTAATTACGATGTCAGCTGTTTGAAGGGGACACAGGGGCAGCGGTTTTAATTAAAGCCTCGAGAAAGAGCTTGCTAACAAGGTGGAGACTCACTCGTCGACACCTTGTTCAGTGCCTTTAATGTGGAAAATACCACTAACAGGGGCATGAAGTCACTGTTGCATCTTTATAGAAGAAGGGCTTCTCGTTTTGGGCTCCAGTTTTATTTTCCGGGCACAGGCACCAGCAATTGATGTTGGCCAGAGAAGAAGGAAGGCAGCAAAGGTTGAACATATCTAGTAAAACTGCAACCATTAGCAGCAATTCTTAAGTTTAACATTTCTGATAATATCTAGTCTGATTTCTGGAAAAGCTCCACTTACTTGTTCAGTTATTGTAAATAACCTTGTCTATCTCCAGGCCTCACTGGGCACCGTGTTCAGTGTAGCATTACCTATATTTAATTCTTGGGGGCATAGACGTGTGTATATTTGAGGATGGTGGGATGACTGTTACAGGGCTAATGTGGGAGCAGTGCGACCACAGATATAACCACTCTGTGGATAGTACGGTTAAGTTCAGTCCTCATATGAACAAGGAAACATGGGTTTCGGTTTGATAAGAGGCTTGGCAGGGTGACTTCCGACTGGGTTCCTTCTCGTGGAGATGGGGCCCGTCTCGGTTTGCTCGTAGCTATTCGTTTTCTTGTTTGCGGTAAAAAAAAAGGTAGGCTCTTAATTGTGATTTTTGCTTTGAGGTTAGAGCTGGGCGATATATCGAGTTTTTAAAACATATCGATATATTTTTATACGAGATATAAGATGTGACAGTATCCTTTATATCGATATAGTCTATGTTACGTTATAATTATAGTTGTGGAGCCGCAAGTTTGCCTCTCTTTCGTCCACTTTTGTCTCTACGCAACGTTACTCCGCCTCGCCTTCACTGAAGACAACTCCCCCTCCTCCCCCATCGCTTCACGTGCAGGGAGCGACAAGACGGACACGGCAAATCTCCGTTAACGAGTTACTGCGCATCGCCCCATGCGTGGGGCTGGACGGCGTCAACGTGCTAACGAGCTAACAGCGCTAACAGCGCTAACCCTAAAATCCTTTCATTCTCTCAAAAGTTGATAGCGCGCCTTATGTATGAATTCTGGTTGTGCTTGATGGCCGCGAACCGATTTTATGTGGTACACGGCGCTCAGCAATCTGTCAAAATGTTTGAGTACGACTTTGGTCAGCTACGGAGCTGCACCGCTTGATAGGTTGTCGGCGCATTACGGCTACCGAGGAGCTTCGCGGAGTGATACGTACTGTGCATCAACGTAATATTACCGTATTGTGTGTGTATAAGGACCATAAATGGCACCTGTAAGAGACGTGGTTATGAAGCGGATTTCAAACTCCAGGCTGTCAGTCACACAGCAAAACTTGGAAACAGAGCAGCTGTGAAATCTGTCTTTGTTATTACGCTCAGCGTCTTTTAGTTTATATTTTGACTGCACAATTGTGAGCTCTTTGTTTAGCACAAAAACAACCTTGTTTTCTTTTATTTATGGAGCATGATTATTTAATGAATGCTCATAATTTAATTTTGAGTAATTTTTCATGTACATCTGTGCTGTATGTTAATAAAAGTGCCTGTGTGACATCTGGGACACAGCTTTGACTAAGAACTCTCTTTTTGTTCTTACTTTATGGCTTAAAAAAAAAAATCGAGATATATATCTTATATCGCCATCCAGCTAAAAGATATCGAGATATGAATTTTGGGTCATATTGCCCAGCCCTATTTGAGGTTACTGTACACATTGAGCCAGTTTCCCTTTTTCTTTTTTTTTTGTTGTTGATTTGTCCTTTCTGACTTCTACACTCCTCTCTCTCCCTCCCTCCAGCCTTCAGCCACTGCTGTAAAGAGTCTGGTTTCTTCATGGTGTTTAAGTGTCGAGGGGAGAACGCAGCCCTGAAGGAATGTCTGACACGACAGTGAGTATTGTGCGACAACACTCATATAGAAAGGTGGCTCCCCATGTGTTATAACAGAATCACGCCAGTAGCTTTTACACACGCTTGCCTACTCTCTCCCACTCCTGTTGACTCTCTGAATTGCCGCCTGTAAAGTCTTAGTAATCTCAAAACCTATCAGAGTGATGAAGGTCTACCTTTTGTGTTCCACCAGCTACCAGGACCCCGCGTTTTTTGAAGAGTGCAAGCAGGAGTACATTCGAGAGAAGCTGGAATTTGAGAGGACGGGGATTCCAGCCAAGAACATGAAACAAAAACTTCCGACTAGCATGTAAAATAACAACACAACAAGCTTTATTTTTAAAGTGTACACAGACTTACACTCTGCCCAGAACTGCAGGATTACGTGGCAGTGCTATGGACAAGTGGTTGTATTTCTTGTAAAGCTACATGCTTATGCGTGAAAGGTGAGTGAAATTATTTGGATCATAAAGAGTGATCAGAATGTCACAAATATGTGATTGTACTGTGATATAGCAGCCACCTGGAAGAGTTTCAGTGCAGGGCAGCACATGGTGCGCAGCTGTAAACTGAGGGATGCTTTGCACCTGTTGAACCACTTGAACATGTGTCTATTGCTCCTGCAGTGACGGCACGAGTGACGAATCTGCTCAGTTGCCTTTGGCTGGACCCACAGCTTTGAAATTCACCTGCAGAAGTTGTTGTGTAATAACTTACAAAGGAATTGATTTTAAAAAAGAAGAGAAAAAAAAGTAATGGAAATCAGAGATGGAGATTTGTACACTATAACTTGGAGGTAATAATAAAACCCTGTGTGATCATGTGATTGTTGCAAATATTAGAAAATTTTAAGGGCAGTCAACATGAAATGTTTCTGAATAAAGGTTTAATATCTGTTTAACTCCATCAGACTTAAAAGATGTGTTTTTTATGATGGTTTGCATTTTTCAGCAGTGGGACTAAAGAGTCGCACGGTGAAAATTTCCTTTCTGTTTATTTAGTGTATTCGAAAGCAGGATCAACAGAACTATAAAAATTGTAAAAAGAAAAAAAGCTACAGCTGACTCAGTTTGTTCTTTTACATGTTCAGGACTTTTACCTCCAGTGGCTAAATTAAGCTAAATGCATACTTTTTTTGCATTAATAATTTTTTTGTTATGGTTATAATAAGAACCAATTTACCATTAGCAACCAGCATAAGTATGTATTGTATATAATCTACAACTGCTTATGTACTAATGGCACCGATGGAAAGAGTTGCTATAGAGGTCCTATATTACTACTGCTTTAAATAATAAGCTACAAAATTACAAATTATAAAATTAGATCATTACAAACATTAGCATGTTTAACATGACAATAGCCTGGGATTAAGGTTGATAGTGTAAAATTTTCTATAATTTTTTTTTAAACAATTTTCCCCCTCTACAATTTTGTTTCTAGAAACTAAAATTTTGTTTGAAATTGTGAAACAGGATTTAAAATTTAAGATAATTTAGGAAAAACAACTTTTTTTTTTTTAACATGGATGTTTCAATTCATCATTTAGGCTTTGTGGTACAGAGAAGGGCTTGCTGTCCCCTTTGCAGATATTTAGCTTTAAAAAAATGATTTAATCATCGTGGCTTTGTGTTCAGTGTTCAGTTTTAACAAACCACATAACATCATGCTTGAAGTGAAAACAGCGCAACCTCACGGTGTTGATTCCTTTCATTCATTTATTCGATCATATTTACAAACAGCCGGAAGTGCAGTAAATCTAAAATATAATCCATATCTACTGTACATTGCATTTTGGTTTGCAAATTGTTTACAGAAGTATGAAACTACTGCTGTAAAATAACATTTCTTAGAAATTAAGAACAAAAGACCACAATCATGATACAGATAAGAAAAAACTAAAACAAAGAAACTTACCCATGGGCCTTTGTGCTTTGTGCACCTATTTGTTAAGTCACATCTCATATTTAATCAGGTTATTACATTATTGTGTTGCCCCCAGCACAGGTAGCTCTTAGACATATCAGGCATCTTGGGGGAGAAAAAGCAAAAGCTAAGTTTTGGAGTGTATAACCATGTTTGGCAGAGTACTGAAGCCCACCATATACATTTATACAGATATGCACATTTCTTTCAGTTTCTTCTGTTTATTTGGTCTAAGATTCTTCAGTGCCCTTAGTTTATACTTTTTCACTACTGGGAGACCAGAGAGAGACTACCCTCAGTCCTAAACAGCAGGATTAACAATCAGCACAGTGCATAGTTCACATTTTCTAATGTTCAAAATGATGTGCCAAGTGTATGCGGTGCATTCTGCGAGTCCTTCAAAATAAATGCCGTGCTAAGAAACCAGCAATTCACAGCCTTACATCTACATGTCACTTCAGAGGTGAAAAAAGAAAGCAACACAATAGATGGTGTTGTCAGATACCAGACAGACTTGAGTTGTGAAGGTTATGAGAAATCATTGAACCTTCTCTCTCTTTACTTTGATATTAATCCACCTCAGTAAAAAGAAAACTTAATTAGCATTTCAAATTTGGAGCCAAAACCTGTAATTATCCTACAGTCAGTGTATGTATGTCTGTCTTCACCGTACAAAAACAAACACATCAACTCCTCCTACCAACACATCTCCTTCACATGACCATTAGACAAACATGGAACTACATACCCTCTGTAATTTACAGTGATCAAATGTAAAAAGACTTGCATTGGAGGAAGTACAGTTATACAAATTCTAGCACTATGCTGTGGCTCCAGTGATCAACAGCCACAGTTTATGGTGGAAGAGGCCCTATGATGAGATACAGATACAGGCACACTGTTGGATGTGAATATACACACACACATGCACGCACGTGCATGTGCTCACACACAAATTAAACTGCTTGTATGCATACTTGCACACAGTTATGCATGCGCATACAAGGACACAAACATGGACAAACTATTCTGTTGAGGATTTCTCATCAACTTTTTCTCTGCAAAGTCAGAAATGTTCACCGATGCGGTGAGCAGAGATGGCAGATTAATGAGTTTAAAGTCTTTACCTCAGAAAAAAAAGAAAAAGGCCTCATCTGGCCTCGTTTAGTTCCCACAACCAGGAGGTCCAGTCTCATCCGCCCCACAAAAGTGGTCTTATCACATTAAGGCAGGTAAGGTGGTAGCTATGTGGCAGGGTTGGAGAGTTTATTCATTGTTCCATTTGTTTATGTTCCATCAAATTTCTAACATTTATTTATCTTCCAATAAATTATTAATCATCTGTTCTCCCACTGTAACTTAATAAGGCTTGGCCCAATCTGTATGGGGAGGGCTCCTGGGGCTGCAGTTACTCATTGAGGACGAGGAGTTGGACGCAGCGGAGTGTCCCTCCCAGAACATGGCGTCACTGGGTTTTGGGGGACTGGGGAAGGATCGTGAACTGTCATCCAGAGAGGCCTGGTTCAGGGGAGGCGGGGGAAGTACAACGGAGCAGGCGTCGCTCCCAACCAGACCCTCTCCCGAACAACTCTGGGGGGGCCATGGGCCGTTGTACCAGCAGTCCTCCCTCAGACTATCTGGCAGCAGGGTGCCTGACGGACAGCCGGTGGGGGGGCAGGGGCGGCCAGAGCATGAGGGCAGTGGGGGGGCACTGGGGGGACGAGGCACTGATGGCCGAGGAACTGGGGGGTGGTTGTTCTTTTCCACGTCGTCCAGACACTGGACGGGAACTGTTGAGGCAGCTGCAGGAAGAGAGGAGGGTGAGTGCAAGAAAAAAAAAAGGATGAGGAAAAACGAGGGTAAAAGATAATCAAATGTTAGATGTGGTTGCACAAAACTGCATTTTTCTAGTGAGACCTGCACAGACAATCACTGCATGGACTGTGGCAATGTCCGTGAAACAAGCACAAATATTAGAGGCAATTGTTCAATTTCTATCATTTTGGTGATACTTCAGTGACAAATTTCACTGTTGATTTAGTGACACTACTAGCTTTCAGTCATCACTGCCAAGTACTGAAAGCCTTACATAACGAATAAACAAATGCTGCCTGCCTTCACGTTAGACATGTTTACAAGCGATATGTCACTTAGACCAATGGTTCTTAATATTTAGAATCGTGAGCCTTTCATGACGTTGGAAATATTAAATAAAGATTGATCAATCTGACAGATCTTAAGTGGTGATTTTTGGCTGAATGCTATAACTTTGCAAAACCCTGCACGACTCCAAGATGGTTTTTTTTAGTAAATCTGGAAACTTTAAAAAGAATAATAATTTTATTGCACTTATTAGCAGTGTTTTACTAGTCAGTAAAGGTGTTTGTTTTAATGAATTTCTCTAGCAAATAAAAATAGCGTGTTTTCTGTCATTTTAACTAAATGATGTCGGCAGCACAAATGAAATGCTCTTTCCTCACCCAGCTAAACACGTCTTTTTTTCTTTTCTTTTTTTATTTAGCACTGAGATAACAACTCTGTATTTTTTTTCTTTTTTTTAACAAGTGGATTAAACTTTGGTTTCTAAAGCGGTTAAAAAAAAAAAATCTAAGCTCTGATCTCTAACTGTATAATAGACCTCAGTGTAAAAACAGAACCGGAGTAAAAATCGCACCCTGTGCAGCGGGCGGCGAGTTCCACAATGAAACCTTTGCACCATGTAAAAGTCACCGCTTGGGAATCAGTAAATAACAAAAGCAATAATTAGATTTTGTCCTCGAGAACAAAACCTAATCAGACCTGAACGCACAAACACATTTTCTTTCATTTCATACAAAGCATATCCTTACACAAATCACATGTCCTAATCTCACACAGACACATCATTGCTTTGCTTTCAAATCATCATCTTGAGCGAATAATAAAGTTTAAATGAGAGTATCTGCTCCTGCTTTTTTTTTTTCCATACCTCTCTCCATCCACACATCTATCCATCCATCCCTCCCTGCTATGCTTCCATGAGATGGTCTCCTGAGTCTAGGATTTGAATAAAAGTGATTCCAAAGGAGGAACATTAGAAGAATACAGATACACAGTATGACTGAATAAATACATAGCACACCCCCCTCCTCCCTCTGCCCCGCTCCATTTCTTTTGCCGCTCCTGCTTTCCTCATTTCACTCCATCTGCTTCATCTAAGTTACAGGATTACCCTCTTATTCAGTGGAATAAATAGGGCAAGATTTATTTTCTTGCCATATTTCGTTCTAATTTTCACCTCCTGGTCTCCTCTTCTGACACTCCGAGGGAATCGACAACAGAGGTAATCCCTCCTAGGGTAGCATACATCATCACAGAGGGAGGGGAATGGAAGGATAGACCATTTCATGATGTCCTTTATCAAAGTGTTGGAGGACTTTGATAATATCCACAGTCTTATCACACTCTTATACAAACTGCAAAAAGAAGCAGGAGGAGAAAACTTCTTGGGAGGGGGAAAAAAACACTCCCGTTACTGAACAGAAGCAGTTCATTAGTTTCCCTGTTGTAATTACTTCAAGTACTCATTAACAGTGTTAGATCAGCTAAATGTGTTTGTCTCTCTATTAATTTACTCTGTAGTTACATCTACATACAATTGTTGCAATTTGTTTTCTTAATCTTTCATCATTTGTCCTCACTTCTTTAATAAGTTGCAAGCTTTTTTCAGGGGCTTGGGTAAGAACTGCATGTGTGTGCAGATGTGACGTACAACAACAACAACAACGTAGGGTTTGAGTTTTTCTTTTTAAGAGCCCTCTATGGGAGGTGGACTCTGCTTTGCTAATATAATGGCATGGGGAAAAGAATGAAAAACACACTGAGGTTAAATCAGATGTAAAGCAGATCAAATGTAAAAGATTAAATAAAATATATAAATATTGGGAAAAAATGAAATATGATAAGAACAGGATAAACATTCAAGAAAATGTCAAATAAAACAAACAAAAATATTACCTGGTTCCTAAAGGGAATGATATAAATGTCAATTATTTTTAGGGTAAAGACATGAAGAGACTGAATACATTTTGTATGGTTGCTTTTAGGAGGTTCATTTAGGTGGCGACCTACACAACAATGCATTAATGCTATAAAGGAGACTCCTCACTGTACAGGAGCTGAGGTGGTGTGAAAAGGACACAGTGGAGCACAGTTGATTATCACACGCACTAAAACAAACATTAAGCATGGGATGATTTGTATTCAGACACCAACTGTGGCGCAATCCTGAGCTCACTCACATTTCTGCAGATGTGCCTCACCTTGTCGCGTCTCACTGATCAGTGGCCTGAGTTTCCTAATCAGGCCTGTTTGGTGCTTCAGCTCTGAATGGAGACGGCCGACCTCAGAACACAGAGCTTTGTATGTCTGCTGCATGCTCTTCTCCCTACACAATAAACAAAGCATTTCACTTAAATGCAAGTTTCCTCAAAGCTGGTGTTAGAAACACCCAACTGTCAGACAGGATCTTGTGGTAAATATCATGAGCAGCTATAGAGTACGCTCAGGAAAAGGAAATATTTTAGAACAATCTTATTCTGAAGTCAAATTCACCTGTTCACTGAAATTTCACAATGCCAAAATGCCACCCATTATGTCAATTTTAGTCAAAAATTAGTGGATTAAATGTACATATAAGATTAATCTATTAAATAAATTATAGACATACCAAGGTGATCATGTGCTTCTTTGCTGACACAATTAATATCAGTGACTACAGTCAGACAATACTTAAGAAGAAAAACAACAACAAGTACTGGTTGATTTGATGCTTAATCAGCCAATAACATTATCTGTATTACAAACAAGAAGACAAAATAAATAAAAACAGTGATGTATTTAAGGATGGCAACACCTACAAAACACTCTTATAAAGATGCAAAATGTATCAGCACTTGTTTTGAGTCCTAACACCTGCCTCACACAGCAAAAAACATGAACAGAAAGCCTATGGTGGAAAAACTAGGTTTTTGTGGTGCTTAAAATAATTAAAAAGGTAGACAAATTATAACATTTTCTTTCTTAATAAATGTTAATAAATAAATTCCATACAGACGTTATGCATGTCAAAATTCTGGACTTAAATTTGACTTGTGTTGAGCACCCAAGTTTAGGGTCTAGCTCTTCATATACTTTTGAGGTTACCTCCACATCATGCTGCAGACATGCATGCAGTCTATGATGAGCAGATTCATAACGCTGCACCCTCCTCTAGTGGCCAAACAGGACAAGTACAATTGAAACTGTGGCCATACAGAGCACTGCATTCACAAGCTTTAGCTTTCAAAGCAAAGACATAAAAACAGTATATTCTGTAGTTTCGTGTAAACAGTGTTCCTACCTGATTCTCTGTAGTTTCATCAGGGCGGATCATTTAAAACTGATTTTTTTGCTTAAGACTGTGCTTTAGGCAAGACTTCCCATCTATTTACAGTTGCTTCGTAACTACAGGTTACAGAAATTATGGTTGGGCACTTTTTAATGATATTCATAAAACACTATACCTTGCATTATACTTTGCATCACAGGTCTGGTCCAAGTCTGGTCCGTTAAGGCCATGCGGCTCCCCCTAAAACAGAGTTAAGTTATGCAAAACAGAGAGTGGAGGTGCAGTCTCTTGGTTGTTTCGGACAACCCTCCCCCCCAAAAAAACCAAACAAATCTGCATCCTCCACTCCACAACAACTCACACTTATGTCCGTCTGTCTTTTAAGAGTTCATCTCCCAACTGTTAAAGATGTAGCATACCCACCCTGGCTTTGTCTTCACTACTGTGTTTCCCAGTGTCACCCTGTCTCTCTCTGCCCTAACACCTCTACCGATTTCTCCTCCTTTTGTTATGCGACAAGAGCGTCTCTCATCTCAAGCGCCCCCTCTATCCTGTTCTCTGAAACTCCTTCTTCCCTGTTTCACTCACCGCACTTCTCTCTAGTAGCCGATTGTTCTCCAGTGTCACCCTCTCCAGCTCTTCCTGCAGTTTGTGGATCTTTAGCTCAGTGTTGATCCTTTCCACCTGCCAGGAGTCCTGAGAGCTGTTCAGGCTCTTCATCACTGTGGACAAGCACGCAGAAAAACAGATGGAATTTGTGTTACAAATGGTACAAAAGGCATAATTAATTAAAGACACTGACTTTTACACTTTTAGCAACCAAATATTTTAACATCAGTTTAATCATAGAGCAACATTTTACATTTACATTTTCATAGAAAATCATAGGTAGTATGGAAGTAAAGGAGAATGGCACATGAGTCAAAATACTCGAGCCTGTCCTGTATTTAAATTGTACTTGAATCAACATATATGTTATATATAACCACAAAAAAACCAAATGTATGTTATCATATCATATAAATCAGGTTGCTGGATTTTTTCCCCTACTGACTATATGACACTATTTATTCTTCTAGTACTGTATTAGATAAAAGTGTTGAAATAAATGTAATTGTTACTCAGTTACTAATCACATTCTGGATGTCAAGGGTTCCTCTCAGCTTTAGGAGGATGTAAGTGTACCCTTTGGGATATTACAATTAGTTCTCATTATTTGAAAATGATACGATTTTGCTGGTTTCGTCAGACCTTCGACATTGCCTGCAATGGTTTTCAGTGTGAAGTGGGTAGGATAAGAGGCTACCAAAACAACTGGTGTTTGAGTAAAGAATCTGAGAACCGTGCCATGTTCATGACTGAGCATAAAATGGATTGACAGAAGGGCTGGTGCTGTGTCAGATGTAATGCAGGGGATGCTGGAATATGAATGACTGTTAACGCGCTCTAATGGCCGCAAGCTTCCGTTACAGAATAAGAGAAGTTACTTTCCTCTGAAGGGTGGCTGGTTAAGCAGGTGGGACATCCAGATCGAGAACAGACTGGAGTATCTGCAACTCTACTCCAAACAGGTGCCAGCTGAGATTTTTCAAACTTCTCATCAGGTTGTCGCTTCGAGGTATAATGGGCACACCCAACTAGTAGGTGATCCCAAGGTAGACCAAGAGCTCATAGAAGACATTATATAGCTTCTATGGTCTGAAAACATGTGGGAGAGAGGGACGTCTGAACTAGCTCAAATACTCTACTGCTACCATGGTTTAACTCATGAAAATGGATGGATGGAGATATTTTAAAGAGTAGATTATTACTTCGATTGTCCGACATAGCTAATTATCAAACAATTTCAGTCCTTGAATTTAATATGATTAAAATTCAGGAACAGGATTCTTTTCCTTGTATTTCATCCAAATCTCATGTGCTCTAAATGTCCACTATCTGTTTCATCAGAGGACAGAACCATTTCCACTGAACAGTTCAGAGACAGCAGGCCTGTGTACTCTACCTGTACCTTGGCTGGTGTCCATTTCTGTCCTCAGCTGAAGCAGCTCCACCTCTTTGGTGTGAAGCTGCTCCATCAGAATCCTTTCTCTCTCACTCGTCTCCCTTTTCTGACAGAGGAAAAAAAACAAAAAAACAAAACAGACAGTGAGCCAAAGAGCATGAAGGTAGAGTCAGTGTATTTAAAACAATGTTTCAAACTCTTACTTTTGCAGTCCCAGGTGGGCAAAAAAACCAAACTCTCTTTATTATCCTTATACTTGAAAATAAGCTACTGTCAGGTTTGGAAGACATTAAGCCTTTAAGCTTGGCTGCACTGTTAGTTTATGAGATGTTCAGATTAATCAGTAAAACGCACCAGTTTGTTAAGCTCCATCTGCAGGTCCTCCTTCTCTATATAGATACCTCGGTAAGCACTGAAGGCCTTGTTCACGTACTGGGGCCCCTCTGATGAATGAGCATCTGGCCTGAAAAGCTACAGTGGTGAAAGAAGAAATAACAGAGAAGAAAGTAGAGGAGAAAAAAAATGTTCAATTTAAAATGTTGCGGTAGGAAGTCACTTTCCTCCCACCACATCCTATCTTGATGGACCAAGTGCTGCAGCACATAAAACTAACACTGACAGATTTTAAACAAACAAGCTCGTGCTCTGCCCACATGTTGTGCCCAACTTTCGCTTCGGTCTGCAATCGGTATTAAGACCTTTGCTGTTCAAATAACTCACTCTCTCACTATATCCGTTTACTGGATCCTTTGTTCTTAATTCCAATTTCAAGAGCATTCTTCTCTGCTGAATATGAGCACAGTGTTTGCCAAAGACATACTTCTCCAGACCGCCTTTCTTTTTTAAACAGAGCACATTTATTTCTCATTGTTGGGTTTTTTCTGTTTTGACAACAGACAAACAATATTAATGATGCTGACATGCATACACTCCAAGAGGTTATTTTTCTTTTTTTTTTTTTTTTTGCAGTGAGATATTAGTATTTTGTGTTTGTCCATCATTCTGAAGTCGTGCACAATAGAAAAATCATTCATCTTTGTTCATAGGTCACCCTTTGTAAACATTGCTCTCTGGTTGTTTAGACAGCATGATAAGCTCTATGTTCTTAAATTTTGTCTCTCTCTCTCTTTTCTATCCCCATCTTCCCTTTGTTGTGCCATCCTCCTACTCTTTCCTACTCTATTCTTCCATCTATACCTTGTCTTCAAGCTGCTTCACTCTCTTCTTCAGCAGGGCATTGTCTCGCTCTGTCTCTCTCAGCCTCTTTTTGATGTCCTCGTATGCCGTGACCAGGGCAAAGTGGGAGGCGACCGATTCGTCACCGGCACACACCGACACAGGACTCTCAGCAGCAGTGGTGTAGGCTGTCTCATGTTTAAGGATGCAAATGTCATCATCCACTGCTGGGGAATCCATACCTACACAGGCCATATTCTGAGGCAGATAGAAGACCTGGGGGATACATGAAGAACTTCTTTAAATATCCTATATTTGTGTGAAGAAAAACAAAGTCAAACTATATTAGATTTATTATCATATTAAGAAATAAATATTTTCTATATTATCCAACAAACAGTCTACACTGTCAACTTGTTCTATTCATTCATAAGGCATTTAATGTCTGTAAGTAGAATTCTCCTAACAGTCAATGGTCTTTTTAAACCACAGTTTCACAAAAGAAGAAAGCCCCGCCAGAGGTTGACATCAGAAAAGCCCTAAAGACAACGAGAGGTTTTTAGCATGCAAAATCAGTTTGTTCACATATTGCATGCAATTTTGTGCTGGTGCTTCCTATTACCCTTGGGCACTTGACACTGGAATTACATGATTTTGATTTAACACCAGGGATGAATGTACTTGGAAGGTAGGTCCTCTTCAATTACCAACACTGAACAATAAAGGAGTCAGATCTGTAATAGTCTACAAAAGATCTACCCCCCAAAAAAGGCAATTTGCAATGTGTGATTTCCATAACATGTACATAACATTGTGTACACTAAGTTTCTGGCCTATGGCTTTGAATGAGAGGCTGAAAAAGAATTTATCAAAAAGAAACTTTAACTCTGCACATTTACAAAGAAATATCTCACACTGACTTGAATGCCTTTGTTAAAGGAAGTGCCAGCAGAGCTGACTTCCAGGAACGATATGAGTGTTTCAGTAAAGCTACTTGACATTTCCCCCACACCCTCCTGGATAATTTCTGCTCGGAGTAGCTCGGTTTCAGAGACGGTGCAGCTTCTTGATGATGTCAGCATGCAATGATGCAGCAAACACACAGGAGCCAAGTTTTTATCACTAAAGGCCTAAGCCTTTAGAAAAATAAGTTTAAGCAGAGTTACCGAATAGTTTGATAGACCCGCGGAGATGAATAGAAACGGAGAAATAGAGAGAAAAAGGAAAACTGCTGACTTTGACGACAGTCGGCATGAAAGCGAAAGCGACCCACAACAAGTACTTAAAAACGAAAGTGGACGTGAATCCAAAACAAGGCAAGAAGAGCGACGTAATTCCGTTAAGACTTCTCCACTTAAAACAGGAAAGCTAACAGCTAAAAATCTTATCTCAGCTGAAAAAACACAATCTTCCACACAAAGCGACAGCAGAAAACATCTATAATCGTTCTGAAAACAATCAATGGATTTCGCGTGTATACAAAGCTAACGTTACGCCGTTAGCTTCCGCGAACAGTGCTGACAAACACCAAACAACCCTGACGTCCGGTTGTGAAACAGCCAACAATAAGAATAACACAACAATTAAGCAACGGTCTTTAGAGAAACATAAATACACATCGACAGCTCCGCGCATCAAAATGATTGATCTATTATGATGATAACGGCTAGCTATGCTTGGCTAACGTCTTCTGGCTAGGTGCAGAAAAAGGATACGATTATTTTTTATTCTCGACTTTCAGTTACCGTGTTAAACGCTGTCCTCAGTTAGGTATCGACTGACCACATAGGACTGTCATTTAATTTGGAAAAAACAAGAGCTGGTTCAAGGAGAAAACAAAGAGACAAGGCTCGGCACTGGTGCCGTGTCTCGACCGAACTGACAGGTGAGAAAAACAAAAACTTCCGGGAGTCACTCCGCTGCTCAAGTCCTTTCAAAGTAAAAGCACAGTCTTAAAGAGCGTGTGCACTTTCTCACACACTGTTACGATCACCATAGCTCCCATTATCCTTTCCTCGGTATATGCATACCACACGCTTCATGAATTCTGCCATAAAAATATAAATATTTGCTCCATGTTCTATACTTCCAACCTTTTATGTTTCTCATATGACTCCCCCCCCCAAATGCTGCAACTCTAAACATATGAACCTGTGAAGGTTCTCAGTCATCCAGGTCATCGTAGTCAAAGGAGCTTGCAAAGAAAAGCGTCTGGACTTCTTTAAGTTGCTTGAAGACGTTTCACCTCTCATCCGAGAAGCTTCTTCAGTTCTAAGGTCAAATGGTGGAGAGTCCCAGATATAAACCTAGTGGGAGTGACCCCCCACAGAGGGACAAAAGGACCCCCTGATGATCCTCTAATCGCCTGAGCCAAGGTGGGAAACTAGGCGTGGGTCCCAATCAGCCAGAGTTTCGGGTGTGTTCATTGTGAAACCTGGCCCCACCTTATCATGCGAATTCCTGAGGTCAGATGGCCCAGGATGTGAGTGGGCGTTAAGGCGTCTGGGAAGGGATCTCAAAACTGGATTATAGATGGCAGAGAGTTGGTGTCGTAAACCGCCGCCTCTGTTCAAAGATGGTCGCTCACAGTGGACATAGATGGATTCTTTCACTCCTCTTTCAAACCATCTGTCCTCTCTGTCCAAAATGTGAACATTGGCATCCTCGAAAGAGTGTCCTTTATCCTTAAGATGCAGATGGACTGCTGAGTCTAAACATATCACATGTCACAGTCGAGGGCAGAAGGCACTTCCTCTCCCCTCCTAAAATCTCCAGCAGCAAATGATGAAGTATTTGCTGCAAGTATCTGAAAAACTGAGATTTAGGGCTTGGTCTAGAAGGTGCTTTGCCGCTTCAGGACCTGGGCATCTTGCTGTAATTAATGGAAGCATGAATTCTGTTCTCTACCAGAAAATCCCGAAGAAGAATGTCTGTCCATCAGTTCATGTGCTGATGCTCAAGTACAAATGTATTACGTGTTTAAAAGTTGAATACAAATTTAATGCCACAAACTTGAGTTGTCATATACATCTGTGAGTTTATGTGTACAACAGTATGCACATGTGGTCTGTGCATGTACACACACACATTTTAATCTAAAAAATTTGCTGAAATTAAAGTCAGAAGCTTTCTCAGAATGCTGACTTTTTCCCCAGAATTAGTTTTTCTCAGAATTCTGACTTAAACCTCAGAATTCTGAGAAAAAAAACTCAGAATTCTGATGGAACTCTGACTTTAATCTCAGAATTTTAACCTTTTTCTTAGAATTCTGACTTTTTTCCCGCGCAGAAGTCTGGAAAAGAAGAAAAAAAGACCTGCCGACTTTCCCCCCCCAGTGGCTCTTCTTCTTCTTCTTCTTCTTCTAAAATCACTCTTTAAAAAAATGTGGTTTGTATTTGCTCCAGGTACCTTTTGTTGTAATATGCAATATATACAATCTGAAACAGGTAAGTGTCACAGATATGTCAAAAAAGGAAAGAAAGAAATCAGGTAGTGTGTGTATATTTTTCATGGCACTATATTAATAGATAAAGCTAAAACTTGGCACATATTTTTACTTGTGGTCCTTATATTGATTAAAAATTAGCTCTCTATTGTGTGTGTGTTTTTGTGTTAAAAGGACAAAAGAGTACAGGGACTACTTGTTAAGCTAAAGAATGACTTAAGAAACAGGCAAGAAAACAAGTAATGCCCTGAACCATGTTTAAAGGTAATAGTGAACAGGCAATTATTTCACGAGTAGCACGAGTGTTATAGCTAGGGTTGCCGAATCTTTAATTATCAAATAGCACAATGCACAGTCAGCTGGGCATAGCGTAAATATGCACTGTCCATCCATAATCTTATAACAAAAATACTGTAAAATGTTGGTTTTCAGTTTAATCAATACCTCATGTAAAACAATAAAGACAAATACAGTAAATTATAACAGAAGTCACAAGGGCATTTCCTTTGAAAAATAAGCAAAAAGGAAACAAATACTGTAAATACAGTCTTCATTTACCCAGCTTATTCTACTACGCAGACCAAACAAACGACCCCTTCTTTTCACTAATCACGTATTACTCCACACTTGTATGCGGGACAGGCCGTCACTGTATGGAAGGCGAAGTACGATTGCGGTCAAATCAGATCTGGTATTTGTAAGAGTGCCAGCTGTTGGTCAGAAAGTGACATTGCAGTAACGGTCCGGGGCATTTAAGGTCGAGTAAGGGACAAACCAATGACAGTATAGAAATCAGTTTTGCGCATTATACTGTGGTATCCCTTAGTTGCCACTTGCCTAAATTAGGATTATCTTCCAGTGACAATTCCCAAATATAACGGGTAAGCAAGAAAATCAAATAGTTATAATACTAATAATAAATATTTAATGTTAACAAAAACACAGGTTTGGTTCATTTTTTGTCACAGTACCTAAAACTGATTAGCTGCTAGCGCTAATGTAGCACTTACCATTAGCTTATTGCTCAGGTTCTTGATAACCTTTTGTTAAGTTTTCGTTTGTGACATACATCATGTTTTTTATATGTGGGTGTTTCTTTTAATTATAGCGATATTTACTTCTTTATAAAGTGATGCCTTTACAAGCAGTTAACCTAGTAAAAAGCAATTCCCTAATGCCTAGCAGCCCGTCCTTACTGATGTTTGTATTTTGTCAGTGCAGTTGATGGTAACTTGATGGTAAGTTGATGGTGTAGTCCTGAAGGTATCTTAAATATTAGTCATTCTCTATAGGTTTAGTGCAGCTAATTAAAAGTTTTACATAACAAGGCTTAACAGGTTGATATTCATAATCCCTTCACATGATACTTTTAAAGCAGTAGATCTAGTCAGTCTGCATACCGAAAGACTAAGCCAAGCTGATCAAGAGGTTTTAACCTTAAATAGGTCCATAGTAAACATTGAAATTGCTTTATGGAAAGTGAGAGAAGCATTGGTTTTAGCCCTCATAAGTTTTATCTAAAGCTAGTAGCAGTATATGTGTAGGCTGCAATATGGAAGCGTGTTTGATTAAAATAAGAATTTGATCAACATATTGTATGGGCAGCTGTGGCTCAGATGGTAGAGCGCACCATCTATCAGTTGGAAAGCTGATTGCTCAATTCCTGATTTCTGTAGCCCACATGCTGAAGTATCCTTGGGCAAGATACTGAACCCCAAGTTACCTCTGATTCATGATCAGAGTGTGTTTGTGAATGTTATAAAGTGCTTAGGCATATATAAAATTGCTGTACGAATGTGTGAGTGATTAGGTGGATGAGACTTGCAGTAGTACTTGAAGTGTTGAGTAGAAAGGTGCTTTTTAAGTACCAGTCCATTTATTTATTTATTTCTAACTGAATTGTTTTCATGATTTCTGAAGTTGGGCATACTCCACTGTGCATTATCCTATTAACTATTAAGGTGTATATTTTTCTCTGTTCACTGTATCAGCTCAGTTGTATCACAGATATCCTAAAAGTGCTATGTTGTCTTTTGCAGTGTAAGAGAAGCTGCAAAGATCACTGACATGACATGTGAAGAGAAATCTGAGATCTCCATGGCAAAGACACGTCAGCGTAAGCCCAGCAATTGCATATATTAGCAGTATTTTTTACTCGCTTTCAGAAAAACATTTGTTTAGATTTGTTTTTTTGTGATTTGAAGAAGAAAATGTTCTCAAGATTCATTTAACTGTCATAATGCAACACAAGTGTTGTTTGTAACTGCGTGAGTGGAGGTGGTATCATAAATACATCTCACAATTAGAGTTCTCTTTATTACAGGCCACTAGATTGAAATAAAGATTTCTTTGCTGTCCATGAGATCAGGATTTATTTGAGGCTAACACAGTTACATATTTTTTTCTTTGTGGCGTTTGAATGTTATCCCTATTCCTGAGTGGGTTTCCTCACATACTCCAACTTGCTCCCACAGTTCAAAGACTTGTGTGTCAGGTTAATTGATGAGCCTAAATTAGACAGAGATGAATGGCAGATAATATGCTTAAAGTGTACAGAACAGAGAGCATTGCATGATTGTATGATTAAATGTGGCTTGTAGTCTAAAGTGCTCTGAGTGGTCAGTAAGACTAGAAAGACTTCCGAAGTGAAATTGTTAAAAATCAACTAGTAAAAGCATTGTGGGTATTAGTAGTGGTATCTATTATTGAGTATTTGCATCAATGTCATTACAGTGTTGTCAGAAGCTCAGTTACTTATGAGAGACATTGAAGAGATGATGAATTGGTGTGCATCGTTAGATCTCTCCAACCAGAGACAGCAAAGAATGGTATGTTTACAGTGAACCACGTGACTGTGCTGCAGACCACAGTCAGCCCAGAATCAAGTATTTTTATTTGTCAAATCTCAACCATATTCCTTTGAGGAAACTTACCCGGCTGAGTTTACATAATGTTTGTCTTCTTTGTTTCTAACCCACTGTCTTTCTGTTTTTAAATGGGTTTATTTGTTTAATTAATTTAATCCTGTCTCTATCATACTTAATGAAGCTGATACTATACTTCTGTTATAACAAGGTCACAAGTGGTCAGGTTATGAGTTCCCTATAGTTGCATAGCAATCCAGTTAATTTCTCTTCTTAGCTGCAAGAAAAGGATATGCAAAGTAAATCTGAATTGCCATTAATATAAAATATATTTGACACAGACGTTAACCGTTTCAGTCCATTTAGTTTCACTTTAGGCTTAGCCTCTGGACATCTCTTACATTGTCTTCCATTCCTTCCATGCACTCTAAGCACTAGACTAGACCCTCCTGACCTCTTTCCCAAAGTGCCACAGGGGGTGACGGATAAATAAAACTTTTTGCCAGAACCACTGGGCAGAATCAGAAAAAGAATTCTATTTGCTAAACCATAATATCTTTAATGCATGTCGTTCTGATTTA